TTTTTAAGGTTTTCTTTTGATCCCTATGGTGGCTGTTTTCTCCCAATACTCCAAGTATCATTTCCCTCCTTCACTTCTTTATTTCTGTTTGCTTATTTTGACCTTTTTTTTTTTTTAATGGAAGCTTTCCCCAAGTGTCTGATGGTCTTGGATTCTTAGTTCATAGTTAAGAATAAGGTTCTGAAAAAAAAAAAAGTTGATTGAAAGATCTATGTGAGGGATCTTTCAACAGATGGAATTTATTCTGGGTGAGCCTACCAGTACCTGAAGACAGCTGCAGAATATGAGCTGGATAGATGAACAGGAAGCCAAGTTAAGAGTTCCAGAGTTTGGATGCAGATTTCCCTTAATTTTCCCATTTTAAATAATCAGCCGTCCACTGCCCCTGGTTTTAAAATCCAAGTACTTCTTCAATATTATAAACAATATATCTTGGTCTACTGAGACCAGGATTGGTGGTGAAGGGAGTCACTTACCAACAGGATACAAAGGGAGAGAACCTAAGGATTCCACCTATAAGCGTACATATTTTCTGACCAATCTCCCTGTTTTCTGCTCCACTTCTGATCTCGATTTTCTTAATGTCTGATGCTTCCCAACGCTGAGCCTTTTGGGAGCTTCAGAGAGATACAGTACAGATGACCCTTGAATCACATGAGCTAACTGCACAGACCCACTTATACGAAGATTTTTTCACAAAATATGTACTACATGATCCACAGTTGGTTGACTATGTGGATATAGAACACCAGATATGGAGGGCAAGATTGTAAACTTACATGTGAAACTGTGACTGCCTGGGGGTCCCCTCTGCTGTTAAACGGTCAACTGCATTACACCTCTTACAGGTATTGTGCACTTGTAGGTACTGTAAGCTTTCCTTTCTGCTAATCAGTTACTGCCTGTCCATCTGCTTTCTGATTTCAAAAAGTCAGCTATTTCTGATTCCTGCTGTATCTCTCATTCAGGGGGAAATGGAGAGTTACTGTTTTAAAGAGTATGGTCCTCCCTCGGTATGTATCCACAGGGTTCCAGGACCCTCGCGGATACCGAAGTTTGTGGATGTTCAACCCCTTATATAAAATGACAAAGTACTTGCATACAACCTATGCATACCCTCCTGTTCAATTAAAATCATCTGTAGATTACTTACATATAATATTTAAAACAACATATATGCTACACAAACAGCTGCCAGCACAAGGCAAATTCAAGCTTTACTTTTAGGAACCTTCTGAAATCTTTTTTTTTTTTTCCAAAAAATTTTCAGCCTGAAATTGGGCAAACATACAGACCTTTGGATATGGAAGGGACCAACTGTACAAATGGAGAAGGCAATGGCAACCCACTCCAGTACTCTTGCCTGGAAAATCCCATGGACGGAGGAGCCTGGCAGGCTGCAGTCTATGGGGTCGGGAAGAGTCGAACCCAACTGCGCGACTTCACTTTCACTTTTCACTTTCATTCATTGGAGAAGGAAATGGCAGCCCACTCCAGTGTTCTTGCCTGGAGAATCCCAGGGACAGAGGAGCCTGGTGGGCTGCTGTCTATGGGGTCGCACAGAGTCGGACACGACTGCTGCGACTTAGCAGCGGCAGCAGCAACTGTACAAAGTTTCAGTTTTATAAAAGTTCTGGAGATAGACAGTGGTTATAGTTGCACAGCAATGTGAATGTACTTAATGCCACTCAACTGTATGCTTATAATGGTCAATTTTATTTTATGTAGATTTTACCACTGTTTTAAAATACAGTTTCTTAAAAGCAAGTTTTAAAAAAAAAAAGTTACTTCCTGAAAGATCCCTTCCAAGATCATGATCTGCAGTTGTCTCTCTCCTCTAACAGGGTAACATTCCAGTACACACCATAATTTACTTTCTTTGTAGCACTTACTGCTGATTAAATTATCCTGTTTATTTACTTATTATCTCTGTCCTTCAATTAGAGAGTAGGCAACAGAGTCACCTTCTGACATCACTGACACACTGTGGTCGTAAGAAAATGTTAGGAAAGCAGTCAATAAGCATTTGATGGATAAATAAACTAATTGGTTTCTGGGTCCCAACTTAGACCTCTTGAATGAGAATCCTGGGACTCTCAGACTAGTACTCTGGAGCACTAACTAAACAATGAAAAGGAACATATCTCCTTTTGGTTAAAAAAGGGATGAGAATAATTAGAGGAAATAAATCAAATTCGCCAAATTGTATTTTGTATGACTTAAAGTTGCTTCCTTTTAGTCCCTTATCTGCCACACCGCCAAGTCTCTATTCCCTTTACTTGCTTTTAACTGGCAGTATTCTCCAGAGCTCTGCCCTCCCCTCTCTTCCCTTAAGCACCTTCACAGAGCATTCTTGTGCCTGCATCTGAATTCTGAGCCCATGACTTACTAGGTGTGTAATCTTAAAATTCTCTGTACCTCATCTTATTCATCTTAAAAAAAGAAAGATAATGCAGTACCAACCTCACAGGGTTATCGTGAGGACGGAGTTAATATACATCAAATGATCAGAATGCTGCCTGGCATTTAAGTGGTTCAAAAGTGTCAGCAAGAGGGGCACCATATAATTTATCATCCAAACCAGGGCACTTCTGAGAAAGACTATAAATAACACCACTAGAGCAACAGGGCATAAACCAGAAACTGTCCTAGCCGAACCAGGACACAGCAGTCCAATTAGTATAAGATGAACTATAAAATGCTGATATGCAATCGTTTCTGCCCTACAAACATCACACGGTTAACCTAATATTGTTCACTTCCAATTAAACAAACCTACTAATATACTATTATCTCCGAAACTGGGTTCAGTGAGGGAGGAAAAGGGGTAAAATAAGTAACAAGTTTCAGAAACACCAAATTAAACAAAGTTGAAGAAGTTTCTTTACTATCTAGACTACTCAAAAGTCACTGGTACACTAACACCTTAATTGATCTTAGAGTTGCAATTAATTTTATTTTGCAACTACAAAGCTATTATAAAATAAAATTTAAATAAGCCAGTTTTTTTTCTTAATAAAGTATGTTATCTATGTTCACTGTTCTTTTCTTCAGTATTTAGCCCATGTGTGTGCATTCTAAGGCACTTCAGTCATATCCAAATCTTTGCGACCCCATGCACTGTAGGCCACCAGGCTCCTCTGTCCACGGGATTTCCCATTCAAGAATACTGGAGTGGATAGCCATTCCCTCCTCCAGGGGATCCTCCCGACCCAGGGATCAAACCTGTGTCTCTTACATCTCCTGTATCAGCAGGCGGGTTCTTTACCACTAGTGCCACCTGGGAAGCTGCTACCTAGCTCATAATGAGTACTAAATAAATACCTGTTGCATGAAAGAATACTAAAAATTTTCTCGTGAAAAATTATTTCAGGAATCTAAAGCAAAATCAGAAAAAATAAAATCCTAATTTTGGATTTTGGATGCACTTCAGTTTTGTGGGGTTTTTTGTTTTTTTCTATTGAAGGTTCCAGGAAAATTCTTAGATAATAATGGTACTGGATTTTTGCATTGCCTTTGCTCTCAGCTAAATGTGGCCTGCTGATCATGAGGAAAAAGTACACCTAAAAATAAAAACAATAACAGTAGTAACTAATGTATATGAAAAATGCTATGCATAAATGGCTTACAAACTTTAGTTCTTTTGATCTTTACAACAAGCTTAAGTGATATCTACTTAGCTTGATTTTGGGAATCTTAGATCTCAAGTCCACAGTTCATTTCCAACTGCCTAATCAGAATTTTCTTTTTTCAAAATTTGTATGTCCCAATTTTGCTATCATAATTTGCCCTTTACCAGGTATATTCCAATACAATCTACTACTAAGCCTAACTCTTGGTAAGATAGCTAAATTAAGCGTTCAAATTCTGTTATGAAAAGGTCCATATGAGTTCTCTACACTACATGGCTCAAAGGGAAGCATGTCACAGGCATAACGTAACTGTTACAAACATACATTTAAAACTATACATTTGTAATTTACATTATTTTCCTCAATAGAGTTATTAAAGTTATAATGGGAGAAATGAATATACATGTGGCAAAAATAATTCCAAATATCAAATTTTGGAGCTGTAAGGAACTTTACAGAAACTAATCAAAATTTTATTGAGCATAAATCAAATGCATTTCTATCCTTAAACTTCAAATCAGGTATTATTATTATTATTATTACCATTCTTTACATGAGGAGACAAGGTTTAGCAATTTGTCCAAGTTTACATAGCTGGTGAGTAGAAGAGTTGGAATTCAAACCCAAATCTGTCTAAAGTGAAAACTAGAATCATTTTCTTTACAGTATACTAAGATTCCTATTTTACATTTTTCTATAACCTGAATTATTCTATTAAAAGTAAAAGAAATCTAGAGCTTCACAAGATCTCCAATTCACCTATTTTTACAGCCTCAGTGGTGTCAAGTAGTTTTATGTGTTATTTACACACAGCTGATTACTGAAACAGTTAAGACTAAAACTCGGGACTTCTGTGAGACTCACATCCAGTTCTTTTCAGCATCACAAGATGTTTATTTTCACTACTACTGAAGTCAACTCATGGACAGCTGCCCCATTTTTGTGAAGGCCTGAAAATACTGTGATACATACCACAGAAAACACTTTTCCTTGTAAAAAAAGAAAAGGCTTCTACAGTATCTCTTATGAAATCATAAACTAAAAAAGCTGTTAAGACTTATTTATATAATCAAAGGCTAATTCTTTCCTAAGAAATTTGACACAAGGCATTCATTATACTTGGTTTGTTACAGAGCCAACAGGTAGATACACACATACATACAAATAGAAGGAAATGTGCCAAATTTTTGAGCCACCATCCCTTTAACTCATAGTTATTGTGACCGCCTTCAAGAGGTGATTATACAACCCAAGCTCTATATAATTTGAGTACATATACCCCTGGTTACAGTGATAATCAGGGACGGAAAAATGACACAATCTACTCTGGTATCTACTATATGGTTGGTGGGAAAAAGCCTACCTTACTTTTGAATAGTGAGCCATGATCCTGCCCACAGGCTTCCAGTAACCACATGCTCACTACAGAGCAGAACCCTGCTTGGAAATGAGAACATCACAGTTGAAAACACCAGAATGGAGCAGAAGAAAGAATGTTTGACATCATCACCAGGTTTCCTGGATTCAGGTTATCGCTGAAATCGGTCCACCTGGATTCCTCATTTACATAATCTAATAAATCAATCCCTTCTTCTAAATTTATCCTTCACTGCTTAAGCTTGTGTTGAACTGCTGTTGCTTAAAATCTGCAAGTTCTAATTATTCTCATAGAGAAAAGTCCTCCATTTTTTAAAAATGCAGCAAAATTTTAAACAATTAAAAATTAGATTAATAGTTTTATCAATATAAAATATACTTTGAAATTTATATACCAAAGCTTTTTTTAACACAGTAATATTTAGTGTCCCTAAACAAGGTTTAAACAATGATTGCATTTTTAAACAATACTAGAGCATTCTGATCAGTATTTTCTTTGAACTAAAATTTTTCTAATGATAGAAAGTATCAGGTGTCTACTCCTTGCCCTTTAACTTTCTGCCATGCCACTCTTCAACTTTAGATTATGTTGGATGGGTACTTTATCCATCAGTGCTCCTGGAATACATAAATCAGAGAAAGTTCAAAAACCAAAATGTTTGCTCTATTCAAACTCACAGAGAATGGAATAGCATCACCTAAGTTCCTTTTTACAATCCTCTTCTTTAATAATCCTTCCCTTTCTGTTCTTCCTTCATGATCACTTCATTCCCTCTGGATCAGTTGGAAGCTTGCCTCTCCTCCTTTACAAAGCTAATCTTCTCGCCTGTGTTGTCATCTCTTTCCAACCCTTTGCTCCATCAATTATGCTCTGACAACTTGCAGCGTCTCCTGTCCCACTAGCATGTTCCACTCGGCCATCACACACGTACAAGGCTTTCTCTAACTTGTAAACACAATTTCTCTTGACCAAATTGTACTCATGATGTTGCTCCTCTATTTTTCACTGTCAGATTTTCCAAATAGTTTAAACCCACTATTTACGTGTTCATCACTCTCCTTTGTCCCCAAGAAAAAATGGCTTCCAATGCCCTTCCTTCCCCAAATCACTGATACCGAAATCACAAAATTATTGTCAAATCCAACAGCCTTTTTAAAAATTTTCATTTCCTTTGTATACTCTGTTGTGATATTAACCATCCTCTTGTAAAATCAATTTGATATTAACCATCCTCTTGTAAAATCAATTTGTTCTAATGACACTACTATTGTAGCTTTCTTCCTTTCTAATAAATGTTTTTGGTACATTCCTAAGGAAGACTCCTTTTCCTCTCATTCCTCAACTGTAGGCAGAGTAAGTGTTTCCTGGATTCATTCTTCAATCCACTGCTTGCCATATACTTTTCTGAAAAAGTGTTCAGTTCAGTTCAGTTGCTCAGTCATGTCTGACTGTTTGCGACCCCACGAATTGCAGCACGCCAGGCCTCCCTGTCCATCACAAACTCCCGGAGTTTACTCAAACTCATGCCCATCGAGTCGGTGATGCCATCCAGCCATCTCATCCTCTGTCGTCCCCTTCTCCTCCTGCCCCCAATCCCTCCCAACATCAGGGTCTTTTTCAATGAGTCAACTCTTCGCATGAGGTGGCCAAAGTATTGGAGTTTCAGCTTCAGCATCAGTCCTTCCAATGAACACCCAGGAAATCTCCTTCAGGATGGACTGATTGGATCTCCTTGCAGTCCAAGGGACTCTCAAGAGTCTCCTCCAACACCACAGATCAAAAGCATCAATTTTTCGGCACTCAGTTTTCTTCACAGTCCAACTCTCACATCCATACATGACCACTGGAAAAACCATAGCCTTGACCAGACGGACCTTTGTTGGCAAAGTAATGCCTCTGCTTTTTAATATGCTGTCTAGGTTGGTCATAACTCTCCTTCCAAGGAGTAAGCATCTTTTAATTTCATGGCTGCAGTCACCATCTGCAGTGATTTCAGAGCCAAAAAAAATAAAGTCTGACACTGTTTCCACTGTCTCCCCATCTATTTCCAATGAGGTGGTGGGACCAGATGCCATGATCTTAATTTTCTGAAAGTTGAGCTTTAAGCCAGCTTTTTCCACTCTCTTCTTTAACTTTCATCAGGAGGCTTTTTAGTTCCTCTTCACTTTCTGCCATAAGGGTGGTGTCACCTGCATATCTGAGGTTATTGATATTTCTCCTGGCCATCTTGATTCCAACTTGTGCTTCTTCCAGCCTAGCATTTCTCTTGATGTACTCTGCATATAAGTTAAATAAGCAGGGTGACAATATACAGCCTTGACTTACTCCTTTTCCTATTTGGAACCAGTCTGTTGTTCCATGTCCAGTTCTAACTGTTGCTTCCTGACCTGCATACAGGTTTCTCAAGAGGCAGGTCAGGTAGTCTGGTATTCCCATCTCCTTCAGAATTTTCCACAGTTTCTTGTGATCCACACAGTTGAAGGCTTTGGTGTAGTCAATAAAGCAGAAATAGATGTTTTTCTGGAACTCTCTTGCTTTTTCGATGATCCAGCGGATATTGGCAATTTGATCTCTGGTTCCTCTGCCTTTTCTAAAACCAGCTTGAACATCTGGAAGTTCTCGGTTCGCGTATTGCTGAAGCCTGGCTTGGAGAATTTTGAGCATTATTTTACTAGCGTGTGAGATGAGTGCAATTGTGCAGCAGTTTGAGCATTCTTCTGAAAAAGTGTACATAACATTAAAATTCAACTGTGTTGTGGCTCTAAAACGTGCCACACACAATCAAATCTCTGGGTATTTGGGCTCATCTTCTATTCCCTGGGGCTTCCCTGGTGGCTCAGAGGTTAGAGAGTCTGCCGGCAATGCAGGAGACCCAGGTTCGATCCCAGGGTCAGGAAGATCCCCTGGAGAAGGAAATGGCAACCCACTCCAGTATTCTTGCCTGGGAAATCCCATGGACGGAGGAGCCTGGTGGCCTACAGTCCACGAGGTCACCAAGAGTTGGACACAACTGAGCGATTTCACTTCACTTCACTTCTATTGCCTAGAATACGCTTCCATTCTCAGTCAAAAAACTTCCTCCCAGACTCAAAGGCCATTTACTCTGGGGAAGACTTTCCTGTCACACACCCATCTCTGGAGCAATGTGACTTCCTAGTTCTCTCTCCTATACAGCCTTGGCACTAAGAAGATACCTTTATTATAGCACTTTTTATGATCTTATGTAGCATTGATCCCTGTGTTTTTCATCTCATGCAATCGCATTTCAAGGGCAATGGATATGTTTTACTCTCTTTGTTTCTTTGGTTGCTATAACATGACAGGCACTAGATTATTATCGCAAAGTATGTTTCAAAAGTCCAGGTTCAGAATGTCAAGGACATCCTAAGACATTTCATATACCTGCATGCCTTTTGCACATGTCAAAGTTCAAAGTGATAGTTTCCTGAACACAAAAATCATCTATTGACTATACCAGTGATTCAGCATATATGCTTTCTTGCTGTAAATAGTCTTCTGTTTCTGCATGCATATGTGTCTTATCTTTTCAATTTATCTGGTGAGTATCTGAGGGCTACATTTTTAACATTAAATACATTATACTATCTGGTGTGATTCCTAATACTGTAGCTGGTATTCAAAAAGCATCACACAACTGTTCAATAAGCCTCACTGTTAAAGAGTTCTAAAACTATCCTAAGAGATCGGTTATTAACTTATTGTTTTAAACTAAAGCTTTTCAAAATTATTCATTATGGAAAATAAACATACATGGAACTCAGACAATAAATGCATTCAAATCCACAGTCCAAATAATATATTTATTTTTAACAAGAAAAAACAGTGGATTCTTTCAGTGGTGACAAGGCATTTCTTTTTTTTTACTTTTGCAGGAAACTGTAAACATGGATCAATTATATATGACCATTACAAAGGAATTTTCCTACAATTCACAAGGTTAAAATAGATTCAGGCAGTGGCATCAATCAATTGAAGTTTAAAACCAAAGTGAAAGTTTGTTAGAAATTATGACCGCACAGGTTTGTAAATGGAAAAAATATATTTATAGTGAAGAGTTCCAGAAGTCACTTTTTTGATCAAGTATATGTCATCTATATAGTATTTTCACCAAAATAGGATCAACCTGGACCTAGTAATGAACAAAAATTAAGACAAATCCAGAATGTGGAATATTCTACAGAGGCAACTGGAGGCCTAAAATCCTCAAAGAAAATCAGATTCAATGTTATAGAAAGCAATACAATGTCACATTTTTATCATTTCAGAATAAAATGGGCTAGAGACATAACCAAATATATGTATAGATTCCAGATTTTTAAAAATTATAAAAGCTCTTTTAGACTGCCATATTAGATGTGATTATTCAATGTATTAATTTTCTTGGTTGGATTAATGGTAACCATAAAGACCTTATTCTTGAAGGTTTGGACTAAAAGAACTTAGGGATGGACCAAAATCTGCATCTTGCTTTCAAATGATTCAACAACAACAACAACAAAAAAAAACCCCAAGGTAACATTGTAATTATGAGTGTTAAAGAAAATATTAAACCAGCTTAACTGTGGCAATCATTTCACAATGTATGCCGCATGCTAAGTCACTTCAGTCATGTCTGACTCTTTCAGACCCACTGGACTGCAGCCTGCCAGGCTCCTCTATCCATGGGATTCTCCAGGCAAGAAAACTGGAGTGGGAATGCCGTGCCCTCCTCCAGGGGATTTTCCCAACTTAGGGACTGAACCTCATCTCATGTCTCCTGCACTGGCAAGGCAGGTTCTTTACCACTAGCGCCACATGGGAAGCCCACAAAGCATACATACACCAAAACACTGTATTGTACGTGTCAAATATATACAAGTTTTAGCAAGTATACCTCAAAGCTAGGGGGGAAATACATAAAGAAAATATGGTGAAACACTAAGGATTTATGTGCTTATTAGCTCTGTATTAAAACTTATAGCTCTTGTACATGATTAAAATTTTCAAAATCTTCAAGTGAAGAGTGAAAGTAACTTCCTCTTCTTTTCAGTCATTTTAAAGTACATTGATAAGACCTGAGTTTAGAGCCCAACTCTATCTTACATTTATTTATCTTAAATACTTTTATACCAAATAATACTGACCTCTGAGACCTCTGAGAATATACACTATATAATCAACCTTGCTTACTAAGAAAAAAGATCAAACGGTAAAACTATACATAAAATAAGTAGAGTTCTTCCCCATTTTACATATAAAATTCAAGTCCTTAGCAATAATTAGAATTCCTTTCTCTGATATTTAACAGAACACACATTAATGAATATTCTTGACTTTACATCTTTTCCAATGACCAGCAGTCAGTCCACTGTTCTAACTGATCAAGACCTTCAAAATCAGAGGTCTTATTCTCCTTCTGTGTTCCTGTTTTCCCCCACTCCCATTGCCTGAAATATTGGTGGGGTTCTCTTCCCAGACTTCCAATTTCAACTTGCCACTGCATTAGTTATCTATCACTGCATAATAGATTACCACAAAACTTAAAGCTTTAAAATAACAATACACCTTTCACATCTTTCAGTTTCTGTGGGTCAGGAATTCAGGACCAAAGGCACAAAAGGCACAGAGAAACTACTAAAGCACTGGTGCTTAAAACAGGTAAAGCAGGAGGTGAAGGGGAGTCACTGGCTCACAGCAATTCTGAAATCCAGTGCAATACAGTCAATTTCTGATCAGAATCCAAGACCTGTTTCTGTCCTCCAGGCTCTTGGTCCTGCTTTCCAAATCATGCTTTCTCTTTCATAAAGGGGAGTCCATGTTGGCAGCCACGTAGTTATCTCAAATGCTTCCTACATGCAGAGGTTCAGAGACGGAAAGCCTGCTTTTAACATGTACTGTCTCTGTCCCAAGTCCAGTCCAAGCTGACAGTGTTGATTCATTCTCATTAGAAGAAAAAGAGGTGAAAGGCAAGAAGAGAGGAGAGAAGAAACTTTGTGGGCCCCCTGACAATCTTATTATGGTTTACTCCATTGTGAGACAAAGGCCAGACCCATAAAGCTCTTCAAGACAAGCCCTTCCTTCTGTTCCTCGCGCCTCTGTTGAAGACCACTGAAGGACAACTCTCTAAATGTTCTTAGAAACCCTGTTGTTTGACTCAAGAGATTGTGAAGGCAACACCTTGGATTTTTCTGAGGTTTTAAAGGATTTTAAAGTCACATCCTCAGCTTCATTTGTAGAACATATTTTCCTGAGAGTGTTTTGGATTTGCTGTTTTCCAGAACGTTCTTCACTTTAGCAACACTGGTCAAATGAAGAGGCTAGGAATTTTCAGACTCACATATGCTGTTTAACAGTACTTCCGTTGATTGGTCTCTCTCCTTTTATATTTTATATACAAGCAGCAAGAAGAAACCAGGAGTATCCTTAATGTTCTGCTTAAAAAATCTCCTTAGCTAGATCACCTA